GGTTGTAATGTGACAAAATATGGAAAAGTTCAAGGGGTATGAATACTTTTGCAAACCACTGTATATCATTTGTGGGGGTTCTAACTATTTTTGCATAAAATAATTGCCAAATCTTTCATGTGCATTTGCTTGCTGTGGCAGGTAGAAAAATTTGGTGAGTCTGCAAMTGAAAATTCATCTATTTTATCCCACATTTCAGGTGCCAACTAGCTTCCAATGATTGCAGTGTCTTTAGCCACTAAAGGCACAAATGGAGAAAAAAAATTTCAGAACATGTTAATGTTATTCATCAGCCCCAGCTAGGGTCACAGGCCTATAGGCATATGGCATAACTCAATGAGCACAGTTAACCTTTGCAATAGAAAAAAGTTCTTGCATCAGCAGGGTTTCATTCTGCCTTTCAGAAAAGCCATTCAGAAAAGCCATGAACAAACTGCCTTTTCAACAACCTATGAGTGTGTTTCATTCAGATGAGTTCTTAACATTAAATGCACCTTGTGATTCAAGGGGAGGGATTGTGAATCGAATGGTAAAACTTTCCTCTGACTGACAATAGTCAGAAATGGCTTTGATTAAATCTTTGTAATCTGTGGGTCTACACCATCAGCTGAACAAATTCATTTAAAAGAGCCTTGAAGAGGATCCTTAAGTCAATGTGGAAATGGGTCAAAAGGGGCTTTCTATCAAGACACTTAAAATAAAAATAATCAGGTTTATTAAGCACTCTGTAGCAATCACAAAAACTTCAAATTTGTCCGACAAGCATGACAATGAACTCATCTTACAATCACTTAATTTTGGGGTAAGCTGTGCCTATTTGCTGTGAAGCACAGCACTTAGCAAACAATCAACAAAATGACAACATTATTATTAAAAAGGGTATTACAGATTGATCAGAAGCCTCTACTGCCTCTGATTAGTAGGGATGCTGCGTGTGTTAGAATCTGGTGTTGTAAAATGTATATTACAATCTCTAAAATCAAAAGTACAAATTGTGTCAATTATAATAGTAAAAAATGTAAATATATGTCAATATTTGACTGTGGAGGAGAACGGACTGTATGGATCAATGTTTTGACATCATCAAACATGGATTAATTTTCCAACTAACAGAGGATGTACAGTATATGTATTCCACTTTCCTCTCTCCTCTGTCTTCAGGCCTACAGTCATAAGTTCTAGCCAGTCAGAGACCTCTGACTTTATCACCATGGTAACCTGGCCCCTGGCCCCTCAAACCCCCTTCCTTATCTGACGAGAAAGATCATCTCTGGAATTTGACTCTGTGTCCCTAACTTTCTTTGAAACTCGGAATAATGACAGAACTGATGAAAAGGATGAACATTGACCACGCGTGCCATGGTAAGTAACTGATAATGAAAAAAGTCACCACACCGGGGGACGAGCTCAGCAATCATGATAGCTGAAGATCTTTTAAAAAGGGTTTTCTAAGAGATTCTTCTATAT